TCCTGGTCAACATGGTGAAACCCCGTCTCTACTAAAACTACAAAAAATTAGCTGGGCATGGTGGCACGTGCCTGTAATCCCAGCTAATTTTTTGTAGTTTTAGTAGAGACGGGGTTTCACCATGTTGACCAGGATGGTCTCAGTCTCTTGACCTCGTGATCCACCCGCCTCGGCCTCCCAAAGTGCTGGGATTACAGGCGTGAGCCACCGCGCCCGGCCAGTCTCTCTTCATCCTGTTTCTTTCCTTCAGAGCGTTTATTATAAACTTGTGGCTGATGCTTGCCGGTTCACATGCATCAGCAACAAGATAATGCATCTTGTTTGTTGTCTGTCTCCCACACAGAAAGCAAATCAGCCCGTCATCTGTCTTGTCCACCACTTTATCCCAGCACAGTGACTAACACATATCAGTAGTCAATCAATAAATATCTATAGGCCAGGCACAGTGGCTCACACCCGTAATCCCATACTTTGGGAAGCTGAGGCGGGTGGAACATCTGATGTCAGAAGCTCGAGACCAGCCTGGCCAACATGGTGAAACCCCATCTCTACTAAAACTACAAAAGTAAGTCAAGCGTGGTGACGCACGCCTGTTGTCCAGCTACTCAGGGGGCTAAGTCAGGAGAATCACTTAAACACGGAGGTGTCGCCACGGCACTCCAGCCTGGGTGACAGAGCAAGACTCTGACTCAAAAAAATTAATAAGGCCCAGCGTAGTGGTTCACGCCTGTAATCCCAGCTTTGGGAGGCAGAGGCAGGTGGATTATGAGGTCAGGAGTTCAAGACTAGCCTGGCCAATATGGTGAAACCCCATCTCTCCTAAAAATTCAAAAATTAGCTGGGCATGGTGGCACGTTCCCATAATCCCAGCTATTGGGGAGGCTGAAGCAGGAGAACTGCTTGAATCAGGACCCAGGAAGCAGAGGTTGCAGTGAGCCGAGATGGCGCCACTGCACTCTAGCCTGGGCTACAGAGCAAGAGTCCACCTCAAAATAATAGTAATAATAATAAAAAGCTGGGCGCGGTGACTCACATCTGTAATCCCAGCACTTTGGGAGGCCAAGGTGAGCAGATCATGAAGTCAAGAGATCCAGACCATTCTGAATAACATGGTGAAACCCTGTCTCTACTAAAAATACAAAAATTACCTGGGCGTGGTGGCGTGCAGCTGTAGTCCCAGCTACTCAGGAGACTGAGGCAAGAGAATCGCTTGAACCCGGGAGGCAGAGGTTGCGGTGAGCTGAGATCACACCACTGCACTCCAGCCTGGGCAATAGAGCGAGAGTCCGTCTCAAAATAATAGTAATAATAATAAATCTGCAAATAAATACTGCCACAAGAAATTCACTACTTTTTAATAAAAACACAGATTCCTAATTAAAGAAAAGGGAAACACCTCTCTAAATAACTTCAGAATTCTGGACAGAAAATGCTACATGTGGAAACTCATCTCGAAAAACAGTCCTGTTTGTGAACAGGAAACATTTGGACTACACTTTCTCCATCCCCATGAAGGACTTAAATGTGCAGCATTGACGAAGGGGCAGAGTTAGCCCTATCCTTACCATTTCTGCATATTCCACCTGCCCCTCCTCATGGTACAGCTCTGGGGGCAGGTTATAAATTCGCAAGATGTTATCAGCACTGTTGGTCAAGATGCAGGAACCGTCAGGGGCCCTAGAAACAGGAGAGAGTTAGAAAGCTGGCCAGACCTAAGCTTTTCAAGTGTAGAGTTAGGGCTGCACCTACCTCTGGGATAGGTAAGCCCCCTGAATCCTTGAGGGAAGCAGAAGACACAAAGACACAAAATGCTAGATAAAATTTAAGCTCAGGGCCGGGCACGGTGGTTCACACCTGTAATCTCAGCACTTTGGGAGGCTTAGGCTGGCGGATCACCTGAGGTCAGGAGTTCAAGACCAGCCTAACGTGGAGAAACGCCATCTCTACTAAAAATACAAAATTACTCGGGCATGGTGGCACATGCCTGCAATCCCAGCTACTCGGGAGGCTGAGGCAGGAGAATCGCTTGAACCTGGGAGGCTGTGGTTGTGGTGAGCAGAGATCACATCATTGCACTCCAGCCTGGGCAACAAGAGTAAAACTCCGTTTCCAAAAAAAAATATTAGGCTGAGTGTAAGAAAGCTACGTGCCCCTTCTTCAGCTCTGGTGTATCCTTCTCCTAGATAACTGGAGTGTTTTACGGTGAAAATTCTGGGGGTGGTCAGATCCCTGCACCGTTATTATCCTTACCATTTACAGCCTTTCAAGAAGTTCTCAGGTTGAGTGCTGAACTCTGACCAGGAACCACTGAAAAATCGAGGCAGCTGGGTGAAGCTGTAGTTCCAAGCGCTAAAAGATAGATGGGGGACAAGAAACATGGGTCGTTTCTGCAAATGGGGCAGGGGCCTGGAGAAGTGGGTCTGAGGACCAGTGGACAGGTCGACCTCATCTCCCCGGACTCCACACTCAACTGCCATCATCACTTACGGGTCTCCCTCGTCCTCTGCAGCAGGTTCCCCAGACGCATCTTCCATGGCTTCCCCAGACTCCAACTCTGGCCCGTTCACTTCTTCTTCAAAAAGGCTCCCGTTTGCTTCTTCTGCAGTAAGGCTTCCATTTTCAGAAAGTTCTTGCTCCTCGATTCGAGGACTCAATTCACTAGGAGGACCAAACTCTGTTTCCAGGGGAGTGGAGAGAGAAAATGGGTCCCCCTCCCCTGGCTCCTGGGGCACAGCTGAGCCAGCCACGGGATCTGGGGACAACCGGGGCGGATCGTCCCTTTCGGAAGGCGGTGGCATCAGTTCAGGGTCCGCATTTTTATCCATCGGGGAAGCGTGGGGAGAAGGATGGGCTGGAGCTGGGTCCTGGTCTGAAGGACAGCGGTCCGGAGCTAACGGTTGCGTCTCCAAAGTCTTCATACTGCAGACAGAGCACAGCGGACATCAACCTCAGTCGGGATGGCCTCGAAGTTCTCAGGAATCCGACTCAGAACTTAAAAAACCCACCTGTGCTTCCTTCCTCTTCTGGGAGGAGGCAGAAGACTCCGAGGAGGAGAGGCGAACAGCAGACGCCAATTTTGAAAGCACGGCGTTCCTTAGCACCGCGGGTCGCTACGCGCTTCTCGCAGTCGCGGGATTTGGGCCCACCTTCCGATTGGGCCGCCGCATCACGGATCAGATTTCGCGGGCGACCCTCGGAACCCGCAGAGCCGGGACGTGAAAGGTTAGACAGTTTCCCGTTCCCATCAAGCCTTAGAGCTCCTCGTGGCTGCTGGGAGTTGTAGTCCGAACCCTTCTGTCTTGGCGAGAAGCGCCTGCGCTCCCCCTATCGGCTCCCGCGGTAATTTTTTTTTTTTGAGACGGAGTTTCACTCATGTTACCCAGGCTGGAGTGCAATGGCGCGATCTCGGCTCACCGCAACCTCCGCCTCCTGGGTTCAGGCAATTCTCCTGCCTCAGCCTCCTGAGGAGCTGGGATTACAGGCACGCACCACCATGCCCAGCTAATTTTTTGTATTTTTAGTAGAGACGGGGTTTCACCATGTTGACCAGAATGGTCTCGATCTCTTGACCTCATGATCCACCCGCCTCGGCCTCCCAAACTGCTGGAATTACAGGCGTGAGCCACCGCGCCCGGCTCCCGCGGTAATTTTTAAAGTACCTGCTCCACCCCGCCGTCTGCAGAGGGCGCTGCAGGTATTGCATCTCTTTTGCATCTCATTCTCCAGGCTCTAGATCTGTCTCTCTACCTTCTTTCAAAAAATATTTACTATCGAGCTCTTACTTGCTACCCAGCACTGATATAGACACTGGGAAATACAGCAATGAATAAGATGGGAGAAAAATCCTCTTAAGTCTTACGTTTCCATAAGGCTTACGTCTCCATGTACTGAAAGCAATGAACAAATAAATCTTTTCAGAGTGATAAGGGCTGTGAAGGAGATTAAACAAGATGGTGTGATATAAAGCATCTGGGAGAAAACGTTAGCCTGAGATATTAAGGAAAGCCTTCTTAAAAAATGACGTTTTAGCTGATGAAAAGAAAGGATCCAGCTGAGAGCAAACGCAAAAGCTTTCTTCCTTCCACCCTTCATATTTGACACAGTGCAGGAATCCTCCAAAATGGTTTCCACTAATTTTGCCCTCACAGCTCTGGCTTGTAGAATTTTCCCACCCAAAACATTAGTATCTACAGCACCAGTTCGGCGAGAACCCTCTCTCTGCACCTTCCTCCCCAACTCTCCATTTCCTTTGCTTCTTCCGGCAGGCGGATTACTTGCCCTTACTTGTCATGGCGACTCTCCAGCTTTGTGCCAGGAGCCTCGCAAGGGTTGATGGGATTGGGATTTTCCCCTCCCATGTGCTCAGACTGGCGCTAAAAGTTTTGAGCTTCTCAAAAGTGTAGACCCACCATCCAGGGAGCAGGTAGCTGCTGAGCTCCAGGAACACTTGGCGTCTGGGCTCGGAACGTGCTTTCGACAGTGACACACTTCCCTGAGGACTGGGTAAGCTCCTAACTATTGAACCTGATGAGTCCTCTCTGAGTCACGGACTCTCTGCTCCGTGTATTTTCAGCTCGGGAAAATCGCTGGGGCTGGGGGTGGGGCGGTGGGGACTTAGCGAGTTTGGGGGTGAGTGGGATGGAAGCTTGGCTGGAGGGGTCAACATAGGAGTGCAGTGTTGGGAGACCTGGGTGTAGATGATGGGAATGTCAGGACCATCCGAACTCAAAAGTTGAACGCCTAGGCAGAGGAGTGGGGCTTTGGGGAACTTTGAGCTGGACTAGAGGGTACTTCCTTGCATATCCACCCGGTATTGGGCGTAGGGAATCCCTGAAATAAAAGATGCACAAACCATTGAGGTCGGAGACTTTTGGATCTCCAAACATTGAGAACTCATGGCTGTATATTTTGGAGCCCATGGCATCCTAGTGAAATCTCGGGCTCCATTCCGAAATGATCTTTGGGGGTGATCGGGGAGCCCAAGCTGCTAAGGTCCCACAACTTCCGGACCTTTGTCCTTCCCAGAGCGATCTTTCCAGCCGGCCCCCGGCTCCGCTAGATGGAGAAAATCCAATTAAAGGCTGTCAGCCGTGGAAGTGAGAAGTGCTAAACGAGGGGTTCGTCCACCAGGCCAAGGAGGAAGGTCCCAATCTGAGAGGCCCAGCAGCCCTGTTATTGTTTGCCTCCACATTTACATTTCTGCCGCTTGTAGCAGCATTTCCGGTTTCTTGTGCCGGAGCAGCTCACTATTTACCAGATGAGAGGGGAGGAAAGAGAGAGAAAATGTCCTTTAGGCCGTTTCCTATTACTTGCAGAGAGAGGCTGCTATTCTCCGCCCCATTTTTTTTTTTTCTGGTTTACTTGGTCATGGCCTTTGCAAAGGCTGGTGTATTTGTTTTGATGCAAACTTCAATCCCTCCCCTTCTTTGAATGGTGTGCTCCACCCCGCGCGTCGCCTACAATTTGGGCGGGCGCTACCATGGCATGAGACAGGGAGGGCAAGAAATGTGCAGAAGGCAAACCCGGGGTATTTTCAAGAATGGGTCCGTCTCATCTTCCTGAAGAAAAAAAAAAAAAAAGAATGGGTACATGTGAGAATCAAATTTTGACACAGTACAATGATGGGTCATTTATAATTTCTCGGAAAAACAATCTACCTGTTATCTGGCTTTGGGCTAGGCCATTCCAGTTCCAGACGCAGGCTGAACGTCGTGAAGCGGAAGGGGCGGGCCTGCAGTCGTCCGTGTGGTCCTCCGTGCAGCCCTCCGGGCCCAGCCGGTTCTTCCCGGTGGGAGGTGGAACTCGAATTCATTTCTTCCGCTTCTCCATCTCTTAGCACGTGGTTGTTTCATTCTGCAGTTTCTTCCCATGCACCTGCCACATACTGGGCATTTTGTGGCTGGCTTACGTCATCTTTTTCCTAAATTGAGGTGACATTTACACACCGCGCAGTGCACAGACCAAGTGCACAGGAAGATGAGTTTTGGCCCCTAACCACTGCGTGATGCCTGCCAAGTCACAGACACTTTTCATCGTCCCAGAAACGTTTCATCACATCTCTTCCCAGTTGATTTCCGACCCCACCTTTATTTTTATCTTCATAACCATTTTGCCTGTTGGAGTACTTCATATAAAATGGAATCAGGCCAGGTGCGGTGGCTCACGCCTGCACTTTGGAAGACCAAGGCGGGCGGATCACTTGAGGATAGGCGTTCGAGACCAGCCTGGCCAACATGATGAAACCCCATCTCTACTAAAAAATACAAAAATTAGCTGGGGGTGGTGGCGGGCGCCTGTAATCCCAGCTATTCAGGAGGCTGAGGCAGGAGAATCGCTTGAACTCGGGAGGCGGAGTTTACAGTGACCCAAGATCGTGCCACTGCACTCCAGCAGCCTGGGGGACAAGAACGAAACTCCGTCTCAAAAAAAAAAAAAAAAAAGGAATCATACATTATGTGCTCATATTTGTTGGGCTTCTTTCCTTCAACGTACTGTCTGTGACATTCTTTCATGTTGCATATGTCAGTATTTTGCTCCTTTTCATTTAGTATAGCCCATGGATTGTGTATCCGTTCTTTTGATGGCCTTTTGAGTTATTTCCCATTGGGGTTATTATAAAATAAAGCTGCTATAAACATTCTTGTACAATTCTTTTTGTGGTCATATGTTTTCATGTTTCTTGGAAAAATAAGAGGGGAATTGCGAAGTCGGAAGTAAAAAGTAGATGTATTTTGAACTTTATAAGAAGTTCTGAGTTTTCCAGAGTGGTTGTACCATTTCACGCTCCAACTAGCAAGGTATGGTTGTTATTATGGTTATTGCCACAGCCTTCCAGACATTGGGGATTGTCAGTCTTTCTAATGTGGTATATCCCTGTGGTTGTAATTTACAGTTCTCTGTTGACTAAGGATGTTCAGCATTTTTTCATGTTACTGTTAGCCATTCATATTTTGTAAAGTGGCTCTTCAAATCCTTTGCCTGTTATTTTGGTCTTTTGTCTGTTTTTATTGTTCAGTTGTGGGACTGCTTTATACATTCTGGATACAAGTCCTTTATCAGGTACATGTGTCTTGACTGTTTCCTTCTGATCTGCTGCTTGCCTATTTGTTTGCTTTACAGAGTTTACAGTATCTTTTTATGTTCAGTGTTTGCTTTGACCTGTTTAGGACATCTTTTTTTTAACCCCAGGGTAATGAAGATATTATCTTATATTTTCTTTTAGGACCTTTTTTTTTTTTTTTTTTTTTTTGTTGTTGTTGTTGTTGTTGTACTTTAGGTTCTGGGGTACATGTGTAGATCATGCAGGATCTTTTAGGACCTTTATGGTTTTAGGTTTTAAACTAAGGTCCTTGAGCCATTAATTAGTTCTTAATTGCTTATGGTGTGAAATGTAAGAATCAGTGCTTTGGTATGTTTCCTGTGTGGATATCCAGTTATTCTAGCTCCACTTATTGAAATAGGCTTTCTTTCTCTACTGAAATGCTTTTAATTTAAATTATTAGAGTATAGGGCTACCATTTTAGGGCTATTTCTTTTTTTCCTTTTTTTTTTTTTTTTTGAGACAGAGTCTTGCTCTGTCACCCAGGCTGGAGTACAGTGGCGTGATCTTGGCACCCTGCAACCTCTGCCTCCTGGGTTCAATTGATTCTCCTGCCTCAGCCTCCTGAGTAGCTGGGATTACAGGTACCTGCCACCATGCCACGCCTGGCTACTTTTTGTATTTTTAGTAGAGACAGGGTTTCACCATGTTGATCAGGCTGGTCTCGAACTCCTGTCCTCGGGATCTGCCCGCCTCGACTTCCCAAAATGCTGGGATTACAGGCATGAGCCACCGTGCCCAGCTATTTTTTTTTTTCTTTTTTAATTTTTGAGACAGGGACTGACACTGTCGCCCAGGCTACAGTGCAATGGCACAATCAAGGCTCACTGCAGCCTCGAACCGCTGGGCTCAAGCAATCCTCAGCCTGAACCTCACAAGTAGCTGGGACTACAGGCACTTGCCACCATGCCCAGCTAACTATTTTATTTTTTGTAGAGACAAGATCTCACTGTGTTTCCCAGGCTGGTCTCAAACTGCTGTCCTCAAGCTATCATCACATCTTAGCCTTCCAAAGTGCTGAGATTACAGGTGTGAGCCACCGTGCCTGGCCTCTTACTGCTATTTTCTATTTGTCTCCTCTGTTCTTTGCTCTCTTTAAATGTTTGAGGAGGAAACATTACCCATCTTACACAAACTCTTCAGAAAATAGAACAGGCCTGGCGTGGTGGCTCATACCTGTAATCCCAGCACTTTGGTAGGCTTAGGTGGGGGATCACTTGAGGT